ATATGTTAAATGTTCTATTAACTAACTTAGTTAATTCCCACAATAATCCTTATATAGAGTATTGTCATTATCCTCACTTTACAAATAAGAGAATGGGGGTAGAGAAAAGCTAAGTGAGTTTCCCAAATAACACAGCAAGGACGTGGCTGATTCGATGTGGTCCCGGCAGTCTTCGCCACTGTGCTATCCTGCCTGGCTCTCTGACCTAAGTTCTGTAGTCTGGTCTGCAGTTGTAAGCTGTCAGTGTCTGGAAAACCAGACTTTCACAAATTCCCAAGCAGTGGGTGTAGTGAAGTACAGCGTTTCAGAGCAATTGAGAAAGTAATTAACATCTTTGGGGTGTGTGTGTGTGTGTGTGTGTGTGTGTGGATTAACATCTTTGGAGGGTGTATGTGTGTTAAGGGTAGGGGCAGAAAAGGGCATTGCAGAAAGAAAGAAATGTAGAGAATTGCCTCAGAAGTGTTTCCTCCCCCACCTAGATTTCAGAGTATATTTACAACTTCTTAGTTTCTCCTTTCTACTATAAACAAACATGTACACAACTCACTTTTATGTTCCCATGACTGCTATAAAGATCAAGAGTGTTATGAGGTGATTCACTACCTGACCAGACACAGCCTCCCTGTGTGCTCTCAAGGGGGAGGAATCATTCCCGAGTGCTGCCTCTCCTGCATGCGGAGGCTCTTCTCCCTGACTTTGCAAAAGCATCTCCAGATCCAGGAGTCCCAGCTGGGACAGGCTGCCTGGATTGACCGGGAAAGGGCACAGTACACACATCTCCCCCCAAAGAGGTGACATACCCGGTCAGTTTTTCCTTCGGTCTGAAGGCTGGTGTGGCTGCGGACCTCATGATCCTCTTCCAGGTCAGAGACATCCTCTAGTTCCTCTGGGGTCTGTGAACAGAGAGCAAAACATCGCTGATGGGAATGCAAAATGGAAAACAGCCTGGCAGTACCTCAGAAAGGAAGCACGGGGACCAATATGACCCAGCAATTCCACTCCTAGGAAAATACCCATGAGAAATGAAAACATATATCCGCCAAACCCTTGTAAACAAATGTTCACAGCAGCACCAATCATAATAGCCAAAATGTGGAAACAAGTCAAACAGTTATCTACTGATAAATGGATAAACAAAATGTAGTAAATTCATTTAATAGGATATGATTTGGACATGAAAAGGAATGAAATACTGATACATGCTGTAACATGGAACATGGGTGAACCTTAAAAATATTACAGTAAGAGAAAGAAGTCAATTACAAAAGACTACATATTATATGATTTCATTTACATGATATGTCTAGAATAGGCAAATCTATAGATAATAGTTCCTAAAGGAAGGAGTGGGTGAGGAGGGAGTGGGCAAGACTGCTAATGGGTATGTGGTTTCTCCTTGGGATGATAATAATGTTCTGGAATTAGATAGTGGTAACGGTCACACAATCTTGTGAATATAGTAAAAAACACTGAATTCCACACTTTAAAATGTTTAAATGATTACAGCCTAATACATTTTTAAATTAAATTTATTGGGGTGACATTGGTTAATAAAATTATATAGATTTCAAGTGTACAATTCTACAATACATCATCTGTATATCGCCCTGTGTGTTTACCACCCAAAGTCCAATCTCCTTTTATTACCATGTATTTGGTCCCCTCCCCCCCTTTACTACCCAAACTCCCCACCTCCTTTTCCCTCTGGACACCACCATACTGTTGTCTGTGTCTGTGAGTTTTTGTTTGTCCTGTTTGTTCATTTGTGGCTTTCAGTTTTATGTTCTAATATATTTTGAAAGAAAAAGAATGTAAAACTGATCAGAAGGAAACTTTTCTCTGAATGAGTAGCAATTTGGCTAACCTGGTATGTGGTTATCACAAATCAAGTTGTTTAAAGGTGACTGGATTCATTATCATGAAAGCCATACAATCTCAACATGCCATTAAAGTTAGTGAGAGATTAAATTTTCTAAGACCTTAATAAATAATTTAACATGGATTTCACTATCTATTCTAAATAGTTAACCTCCTTCCATTCCTTTTTTTCCATTTCATCTTAAGCATCTGTTCAGAGGTGTCTTGCTCAGGAACTCCTAAGCCAGGCTGGGCTCCTTTGCCACTACTTTCCTTATTCCCTCTACTTTCACTATCATATTGGTAATCATACTTTATTGTATTGCCGTTTATATTACGTCATATCACCAAAACCTAGCACATACATGCTTCTGAATGAATGGAGCAAAATTATCAGTGATATGAGCAAAACAACACTCACCAACAGCAACAACAAATACTTGGTTCTAACTTTACCTTCACTGTGCTTCCACCTTCTGTATTCCAAAGTAAAATGTTTTTATTTTGTACTGTGTTTTTCTTTTTTTCTAGTTCAAGGTTTTTATTCCCTTAGTCTCAAAGGGGAAATAATGTAAAGAAATCAGTCCTTATTACAAAAACAAATGTAAGTACTTAACAAGAATTAACTTAGTATTTGTTTTGGTTTACACAGTCTCAACATTAAACTATGACTCTTGCTACCTACGAAGTCCTGGTGAGAAAACTAGAATACAAACAATTAGGTTTCATGAAAAACTACCAAAAGCATTGTGGAAGGCCTTTTATATCCCCGACTGCTAAAGACTTGGCCAGAGGCACAACCGCCTCCTGAGACCAGCTCTGGTGTCCCTCAGACCTCGCATTGGCCACGGGCTCTTTATTTTCAGGGCTGCGAGTGGTTTCCTTCCCCCGAGATGGGAACAAAGCGATTAGCTCACATAGTGGCGCAAAACACTCTCAATTTCATAACCACTAAGGGCCCGAGATTCTTTCTTATCTCATGGATCTTTAACTAGCATGTTCTTTGTTCTCTAACACTTGCAGTCAGCATCATCTGTCTCTCTGCATTTATTTCAACTTACTCGGATGGGCTATTAACACCCCCCTTTTACCAAGGCCTCCAATATGCTAAGTAATTGTTATCTATTTGTTGATCTCTATATGTAGTCCTTCTTTGCTGCAACTAAATGCAGCTAAAATCACAGGGCAATTTACTCTCTCCTCTTAGGTATTAAGAACATGAGTTTACCACTATGGAACTTCTAAACAATCACATATTTCTTATTTGCCATTTCTGTGTTTTCTTCCCACAATATGCTTGAGAAATTATCTTTGCAATTCCCCTCCTTGACACATCACCAGCCCCTGTAACATCTGAATGCATTCAGTTGATCAAATTCCCTTTCTTGGGTCCTGTTTTGCAGAGGAAGGCTGTCTGGTGCCCCTACTGTGACCTGTTTCTTATAAATATCTCTTGTTTATTACTTGGATGACACTCTACAAAGTAGAGATCTATAACTTCATCATTGGTTCCAATATTTTATTCAACCCCAAAATAAAGTTACTTAACAGGAACTAAGAAAAACTGCTTCTAGAAGTCACAAGTACCATTTCTGCTGGTGAGACTGCAGAGAGAGAAAAGGCTCCCATCGATGCCCACATACTTCTGTGCTTTTCTTTGTCTTTAAACCACTAATAGTCTTCCTGCTAAGCCACCGCAAATGACCTCTTCTTTTCATGAGCAAAATCAATGGGGGAGTGTTCAAAACACTTGCTGGCAGGATTATGCCTTCTGTACGGCAAGCAGCTGGATGGCATTGAAAAATAAAATGTGAAATATACAATATTACAGTTTAAATTAAGTGGAAACTAAGGAAAGGATAGGAGCACTCTAATCATTTATATGATGATACATTAACTCCTTCAGGACTGAAGACAAATAATAATAGAAAGAGCAGATGTTATCTGTCTTATTTATCACTCTGAGTACCTGAGACAGCCGATACTATGTGCTCAATAAAATTTCCTAACTGAATGAAGAAATAAAAGATTTTATAACCAACTAGAGTCCGGTTGCAATAGGCCTTCCCTTCCCTTGGCTGCTGGCACCGGTTTGCCTCTAGCACCCAGGACCCAGGCCTTCGCTCTGGCCGGCCCCTGCCAGAGCTGGCCTCAGGGCCGTCAGGCTTCACTCTGCCGCTTGGAGCCTACTTATGCAAATTAATCGCCATCTTTGTTGGGTTAATTTGCATACTCTCCTGATTGGCTGGTTAGCATAGCCAAACTTTAGGTCACCGAATTTAACTAATTAACTAGTAGTAATAATGAAAATGATGATAATTATACTATTGCTACGACTACTATAAGTAATAATAACTGATCATTGAGAACTGACCGTGGGCTAGGCATATGTTAAATGTTCTATTAACTAACTTAGTTAATTCCCACAATAATCCTTATATAGAGTACTGTCATTATCCTCACTTTACAAATAAGAGAATGGGGGTAGATAAAAGCTAAGTGAGTTTCCCAAATAACACAGCAAGGACGTGGCTGATTCGATGTGGTCCCGGCAGTCTTCGCCACTGTGCTATCCTGCCTGGCTCTCCGACCCAAGTTCTATAGTCTGGACTGCAGTTGGAAGCTGTCAGTGTCTGGGAAACCAGACTTTCACAAATTCCCAAGCAGTGGGTGTAGTGAAGTACAGCGTTTCAGAGCAATTGAGAAAGTGATTAACATCTTTGGAGGGTGTATGTGTGTTAAGGGTAGGGGCAGAAAAGGGCATTGCAGAAAGAAAGAAATGTAGAGAATTGCCTCAGAAGTGTTTCCCCCCCCCCTCTAGAATTTCAGAGTATATTTACAACTTCTTAGTTTCTCCTTTCTACTATAAACAAACATGTACACATCTCACTTTTATGTTCCCATGACTGCTATAAAGATCAAGAGTGTTATGAGGTGATTCACTACCTGACCAGACACAGCCTCCCTGTGTGCTCTCAAGGGGGAGGAATCATTCCCGAGTGCTGCCTCTCCTGCATGCGGAGGCTCTTCTCCCTGACTTTGCAAAAGCATCTCCAGATCCAGGAGTCCCAGCTGGGACAGGCTGCCTGGATTGACCGGGAAAGGGCACAGTACACACATCTCCCCCCAAAGAGGTGACATACCCGGTCAGTTTTTCCTTCGGTCTGAAGGCTGGTGTGGCTGCGGACCTCATGATCCTCTTCCAGGTCAGAGACATCCTCTAGTTCCTCTGGGGTCTGTGAACAGAGAGCAAAACATCGCTGATGGGAATGCAAAATGGAAAACAGCCTGGCAGTACCTCAGAAAGGAAGCACGGGGACCAATATGACCCAGCAATTCCACTCCTAGGAAAATACCCATGAGAAATGAAAACATATATCCGCCAAACCCTTGTAAACAAATGTTCACAGCAGCACCAATCATAATAGCCAAAATGTGGAAACAAGTCAAACAGATATCTACTGATAAATGGATAAACAAAATGTAGTAAATTCATTTAATAGGATATGATTTGGCCATGAAAAGGAATGAAATACTGATACATGCTATAACATGGAACATGGGTGAACCTTGAAAATATTATAGTAAGAGAAAGAAGTCAATTACCAAAGACTACATATTATATTATTTCATTTACATGATATGTCTAGAATAGGCAAATCTATAGATAATAGTTCCTAAAGGAAGGAGTGGGTGAGGAGGGAGTGGGCAAGACTGCTAATGGGTATGTGGTTTCTCCTTGGGATGATAATAATGTTCTGGAATTAGATAGTGGTAACGGTCACACAATCTTGTGAATATAGTAAAAAACACTGAATTCCACACTTTAAAATGTTTAAATGATTACAGCCTAATACATTTTTAAATTAAATTTATTGGGGTGACATTGGTTAATAAAATTATATAGATTTCAAGTGTACAATTCTACAATACATCATCTGTATACCGCCTTGTGTGTTTACCACCCAAAGTTCAATCTCCTTTTATTACCATGTATTTGGTCCCCTCCCCCCCTTTACTACCCAAACTCCCCACCTCCTTTTCCCTCTGGACACCACCATACTGTTGTCTGTGTCTGTGAGTTTTTGTTTGTCCTGTTTGTTCATTTGTGGCTTTCAGTTTTATGTTCTAATATATTTTGAAAGAAAAAGAATGTAAAACTGATCAGAAGGAAACTTTTCTCTGAATGAGTAGCAATTTGGCTAACCTGGTATGTGGTTATCACAAATCAAGTTGTTTAAAGGTGACTGGATTCATTATCATGAAAGCCATACAATCTCAACATGCCATTAAAGTTAGTGAGAGATTAAATTTTCTAAGACCTTAATAAATAATTTAACATGGATTTCACTATCTATTCTAAATAGTTAACCTCCTTCCATTCCTTTTTTTCCATTTCATCTTAAGCATCTGTTCAGAGGTGTCTTGCTCAGGAACTCCTAAGCCAGGCTGGGCTCCTTTGCCACTACTTTCCTTATTCCCCCTCCTTTCACTATCATATTGGTAATCATACTTTATTGTATTGCCGTTTATATTACGTCATATCACCAAAACCTAGCACATACATGCTTCTGAATGAATGGAGCAAAATTATCAGTGATAGCCAAAAAGACCGTTGGATATGAGCAAAACAACACTCATCAACAGCAACAACAAATACTTGTTCTAACTTTACCTTCACTGTGCTTCCACCTTCTGTATTCCAAAGTAAAATGTTTTTATTTTGTACTGTGTTTTTCTTTTTTTCTAGTTCAAGGTTTTTATTCCCTTAGTCTCAAAGGGGAAATAATGTAAAGAAATCAGTCCTTATTGCAAAAACAAATGTAAGTACTTAACAAGAATTAACTTACTATTTGCCTTAGTTTATACAGTCTCAGCATTAAACTATGACTCTTGCTACAAAGTCCTGGTGAGAAAACTAGAATACAAACAAATAGGTTTCATGAAAAACTACCAAAAGCATCGTGGAAGGCTTTTATATCCCCGACTGCTAAAGACTTGGCAAGAGGCACAACCGCCTCCTGAGACCAGCTCTGGTGTCCCTCAGACCTCGCATTGGCCACGGGCTCTTTATTTTCAGGGCTGCGAGTGGTTTCCTTCCCCCGAGATGGGAACAAAGCGATTAGCTCACATAGTGGCGCAAAACACTCTCAATTTCATAACCACTAAGGGCCCGAGATTCTTTCTTATCTCATGGATCTTTAACTAGCATGTTCTTTGTTCTCTAACACTTGCAGTCAGCATCATCTGTCTCTCTGCATTTATTTCAACTTACTCGGATGGGCTATTAACACCCCCCTTTTACCAAGGCCTCCAATATGCTAAGTAATTGTTATCTATTTGTTGATCTCTATATGTAGTCCTTCTTTGCTGCAACTAAATGCAGCTAAAATCACAGAGCAATTTACTCTCTCCTCTAAGGTATTAAGAACATGAGTTTACCACTATGGAACTTCTACACAATCACATATTTCTTATTTGCCATTTCTGTGTTTTCTTCCCACAATATGCTTGAGAAATTATCTTTGCAATTCCCCTCCTTGACACATCACCAGCCCCTGTAACATCTGAATGCATTCAGTTGATCAAATTCCCTTTCTTGGGTCCTGTTTTGCAACAGAAGGCTGTCTGGTGCCCCTACTGTGACCTGTTTCTTATAAATATCTCTTGTTTATTACTTGGATGACACTCTACAAAGTAGAGATCTATAACTTCATCATTGGTTCCAATATTTTATTCAACCCCAAAATAAAGTTACTTAACAGGAACTAAGAAAAACTGCTTCTAGAAGTCACAAGTACCATTTCTGCTGGCGAGACTGCAGAGAGAGAAAAGGCTCCTATTGATGCCCACATACTTCTGTGCTTTTCTTTGTCTTTAAACCACTAATAGTCTTCCTGCTAAGCCACCACAAGTGACCTCTTCTTTTCATGAGCAAAATCAACGGGGGAGTGTTCAAAACACTTGCTGGCAGGATTATGCCTTCTGTACGGCAAGCAGCTGGATGGCATTGAAAAATAAAATGTGAAATATACAATATTACAGTTTAAATTAAGTGGAAACTAAGGAAAGGATAGGAGCACTCTAATCATTTATATGATGATACATTAACTCCTTCAGGACTGAAGACAAATAATAATAGAAAGAGCAGATGTTATCTGTCTTATTTATCACTCTGAGTACCTGAGACAGCCGATACTATGTGCTCAATAAAATTTCCTAACTGAATAAAAGGTTTTATAACCAACTAGAGTTCTGTTGCATGAAGAAATTTGTGCAATAGGCCTTCCCTTCCCTTGGCTGCTGGCGAAGAAATAAAAGATTTTATAACCAACTAGAGTCCGGTTGCAATAGGCCTTCCCTTCCCTTGGCTGCTGGCACCTGTTTGCCTCTGGCACCCAGGACCCAGGCCTTCGCTCTGGCTGGACTCCGGCCAGAGCCGGCCCCGGAGCTGTCAGGCTTCACTACTCCGGCCCCGGGACCATCAGGCTTCACTCTGCCGCTTGGAGCCTACTTATGCAAATTAACCGCTATCTTTGTTGGGTTAATTTGCATACTCTCCTGATTGGCTGGTTAGCATAGCAAAGGTATGGTCAATTTACATGTTTGTCTATTATTAGGTAAGATAAGCTTTGGTATCAATGTCACAGGAAGGTCATGGAAACATTTTTGAGCTATGAAGTAATGTTTAATCTTTTGCCTTCTGCCTTTAGTATGTGATTTAATAATCCCTTGCCTAAGGGAAAATTTGAGGTGGTTCCTGGACTTTTTTTTTAAGTCTATGGAAATTAGAGACAATAGATTCTGAACAGAGAGATTTTTTACAAGCTTCAAATTCACAGACTTGGAAAATGAGAAAGGCAGCTATGCATTCCATGAACATTGCAGAATTCAGAGAAAAATGCCATCTACCAAATCCAACCAGTTTCAAGTCTCACCAGGATCCTGTGCCACAAACTTTACAAGGGAACAGCGAGTAGGAAACCCTGAAGAGCTCCATGGGCTAGCACAGTGGGCATCTCATCGCTAGCCAGTGTGGGGAAGTGACAAATGACTGGCAGTCTCTCAGCTGCCTGAACATGGCCTAAGGCTCCAGAAAAGTTTCACAACCTGGGCACTATTGACATCTTGCTCTGAATCATTCTGGTTGTAAGAGGCTATCTTGAATACTGTGGAATATTTAGCATGATCCTGACCTGTACCCACCATCTGCAGTAGGACTATTCCCAAGATGTAACAAACAAAACTATCTCTAGACATTTCCAAACGTCTCCCATTGGGGAGGAGGAACACCTTCTTTGAGAACCACTGCTCTAGAACTCTGGCTAACCTGTTGCAACACAGGTGGCAAGGGTTAGGGGAAAGCCCAATACCTATGTTTACATTTCCCATAAGCAAAGTTAAAACTTAGTTGCCTTAGGAAACCTAAAAATAAAGAGTAATTTTTTTTCTTGTACCTCTGAATTTGTAGACAGAAATACATACCCCATATAATACCATTGTGGTCACAAAACAGAAGAGGGCACCCTTTAATCATTTTAGTCTTAACCAAACAATTGGAAGACAATATCAAAAGATTTATGAAAATAAAATTACAAACTTGGTTGCAGTATTAATACCATTTAATAAGTGGGTTTTATTATATGTTATATTTTAAAAATTTTAGTCATAATAAAGAAATTATTACCTAGAGATATGCAGTGATGGTTCAAGGTTGCTTGGATGTTAGAAAAGTCAAGTTAAGTCATCTCGACTAACATATTTGTGTGCTCTTTTTTTCTGTATATTAACAGACTATTATGCTAGATACTAGACATCTTCAGACAAATGAACCATAATCCTTGCCCTCAAGAGAGATAAAAGCTATAAATAAAAGTTGTTCCCTAGAGTTAGAAGGTGTGAGACTGAATTTGAGTGGTGAGACATTTTCTTAGAAATGTCAGGCAGAAGAGGAGAATAAACATAAAGTGCCCCAAGCTAAGCAGGGAAGGTATTCCTTGTATTATCAGAAAGTTGATAGGCTTGTGCTATAAAGTAGATTAATGAACTTGAAATTAGGATACCTTGGTTTTCCTTCTAATTTTGCCACCAATTAATGTTATGTTGTTAGGCAAGTCTCCTAATTGTCCTATGCTTCCATTTACTCATCTTTAAACTGGAGATGAGAAGTAAGTAAAACTTGATAATGTCTGTAAGTTCTTCGAATTTTAAGATCTTATAAGTTCATGTTTAAACT